CATGTGATTATAGAAGTCCATGTATGCCACAGCCCACACATGGGCTGAAGACACCTTTTTGGAAGTCAACTCTGTCCTTCCACCTTGTTGACACAGAGGCTCTCAGTTCTGTCATCCTACTACACCCTCTAGATTACTACATGTCCTAAGAGAACATATTCTACTATGTCTGCCTTCCATCTTAAAGTAACAGTGCTGGGATTAGAGGTGTGCCACCCTAACAAGGTTTTCACCTAGGCTCAGAGATCCAACAATTCAGGAAGTCAAACTTGCACAGCAAGTGCTTTTATCCACCAAGAAACCTGCCTAGTCCTTCCTTCCTTTCTTTCTAAGATCTACTTATTTAAAAAAAAAAAAAAAATGTGGTTCAGTGATGGCACACATATTTTTAATACAAGCACTTGGCAGAGGCAGGGAGATCTCTCTGAGTATAAAACAAGCCTGGTCTATAGATCAAGTTCTAGAAGAGCCAAGGATACACAAAGAAACCTTGTCTCTAAAAACAAAACAAACAAAAATATTTATTTATTTAGGCCAAGTGTGATGGCAAACACCTTTAATCCCAGGCACTTGAGAGTAAGAGCAGGCAAATCTCTGAGTTTAAGGCAAACCTGGACTGCAGAGTGCGTTCCAGGACATACAAGTTCCAAGGCTATATAAAAACATGCAAAAACATTTATTTCTTTTTTATTGTATGTGTATGAATACTCGCCTGTGTGTGTATGTAAATCATGAGTATATCCTGGTGCTGGGGTTACAAAGAGTTCTGAGCCACCAAGTGGGTGCTGGGAGCCAAACGCAAGATCTCTACATAAGTTGGACATGGCTCTACACCAGTGAACAACCTTTGCAGCTGGCTCCAATTTCTATTTAAAGAAAACTGAGGGCCAGCAAGAGAGTTCAGGTTATAAAAGGGTGTGTCCCTGGGAACTGGTGACTTGAGTTTAATCCCTAAACCAGAGATTAAAAGATTTCAATAACTTGCCCACTGACCTCCACAAGCTCACCACAGCAAGTATACACAGACACATGACATCATAGCATATCACATCACATCACACAAACACACACACACACACACACTTTTTATTTTAAAGAGAACCAGTTTTGTACACTATCCCTCAATTTGCACTGGTCTAGTGTTTTCTCTTGATGAGAATGAGATTATCTGTTTTTGGCAAGAATATCAGAAAAGATATCACATGCTGCATCCTTACTGAGTAATAGCAACAGATGCCTAATATGAACTATTTCATTAGAAAAATGGAGAATTTGGACATTTAGTTGCCGTGCTGTCTGCTGGGTTTCTCTACGTTAAATTTGCTATTTTTCCATTTGACCTTAATACAAAACTTTAATATTTCTTTTTATTATGTGTACGTGAATGCCTGTGTATGTGTATGTGAGTGCAGATGCTCACAAGCTGGAGGTTTATGAGTTCCCTTATTTGGGTGCTGAGAATCAAACTTAAGTCCTTTGCAGAGCAGTATACTCAGGTTGGGAGACAAGTCAGTGGTTAAAAGCACTGGCTACTCATCCAGAGGACCATTTCCAACACCAATATGGCAACACAGCCATTTGTAAATCTAGTCACAAAGAGATTCCCTCTTCTAGCCTCTAATGACAGGCACTCCATGCATGCACATGGTACATAAACATGCAGGTAAAACACCTATACATATTATGTAAATAAAATATAAAAAATAATAATTAAAAAAAACTTTGAGAGCAGTACATTCTCTTAATCACTGAGCCATCTCTCCAACACATACAAATTTTTTTAAAGATTCATTCATTCATTCATTCATTCATTCATTTATTTATTTATTTATTTATTTATTTATTTATTTATTTATTTGTTGCTTATACAGCATTCTGCCTGCATGTGTTTCTGCACACCAGAAAAGGGCACCAGGTCTCATTATAGACGATTGTGAGCCACAATGTGGTTGCTGGAAATTGAACTCAGGACCTTTGGAAGAACAGAGAGTGCTCTTAACCTCTAAGCCACCTCTCCAGCCCCACATACAATTTTTTTTAAAGATTTGGGGTTTTTGTTTGTTTATTTGTTTTTAACTGTATCAGTGCCTGAGGAGGTCAGAAGTGGGAATTGGATTCTCTATAACTGTTGTTAGCAGATATTTAGGTGTCAGAAACTGAACTTGGGTCCTCTGCAAGAACAGCCAGTATGATTATTAACCACCAAGTAGGTACCGCCTAATAAACTATAAATGATATAAATTTTATTTGTATTAACAAACACTATGCAAAAATCCTGTTGTTAAGGGTTTTACCTACTTCATATTCACCAATAAATCTTGTCTTCTGGATATGGTAAGGTACACCTGAACTGCTAGTCATAGGGAGACTGAAGCAAGAGGAACCCCATAAAATACACAGTGAGGCACTGTCACAGAAACAAAAATTGTCTTCTCTATAATAATTACAGCACTATGACTTAACAGTGACTGTCTATCCTTTTTAATTTGTTAAATATAATTCCATTGCAAAGAGTTGTTGTTTTTCCATTATGTATAGAATTGACCAATAGTTTTAGCAGTATGAACGTACAGGAATTTTGTTCAATGGTTTAAAGCTAATGATCTCACTCTCGGTATCTGTCTCAACCTCTCTACCTTCTTCCCTTTTTCTGGTGAAATTGCTTGGCCATTAGAAGCTCTGTCATGTTGGCTTCCAGGTTCCTCTGACATAATCTATCCTGTTTTGTATATTTCTTTACTACTGACAGAATTTCTTCAGAAACTCAGCTTTGTTTATTAGGGAATATGGGAAAGTCAGTATGCTCACTGCTTCTAGAGCCTTTTCTTGAACAGTGCTGTAAAAACATTACAAGTAAGTTTACTTTAAGTTACTTGTACTTCTCATTTACCTTTCAAAATTAAAACCTCTGACCTCACAGTAATAAGTGAGTCTAATCCAGCATACAGCATTCATTTTATCTATCTTCATTCTCCAACAGTTTTTCATGATACAGTTACTACACTATTCACTTAATAAATATACAGTGCTAGCTGTGGGCATGTGTAATCTCAGCACGTGAAGAATTGAAGCAGACTAAGACAGCCTATACTATAGACACTGTAGTTGTTCAGATGTGCACACACCTTCCACTCACACAGCATATAAGGAACGCAGATACTTCGGCACACGCCTGTAAACCCAGCACTCGAGAGGCAGGGGCAGGCATATCTCTTGTTGAGTTTGAAACCAGGCTGCTCTACAAAGCTAGTTCTGGACAGTGAAGACTGCTACATAGAGAAACTCTGTCTCAAAAAACCAAAATCAAAACAAAACAAACAAAAAACGAAAAAGAAAGCAATGTGGGAAGTGCTAACCTAGAGCACAGTATGGTTTGTTGTGCATGCCTACAAGTGAGTGTTTATTCTATTCTGTTCTGTTCTATTCATTTTTGAACAGTTATGGCTCCCAAGAAAATTGAGTGTTAGACTGTATTCCCAAATAATTCCTCACACCCCCAAATCCACAACAACCTACTGTCAATGTCTACTAGATGTTTCATTTGTTAAAATACATGAAAACCCCAATGACACATCATTATCAACCCAAGTTTAATATTTTTATTAGGTTTCAGTTTTTGTGTGCATGCTGTAGTTTCAAACAAAGATAAAATATAACATCATACAAACCAGTCTTCCTGTCCTAAAAATCTGATTTCCTGAAGAGGGCTCAGAAGAGCACTTGCTGCTTTTGGGAAGAGCCTGGGTTCCCAGAACCCACATGGAGGCTTACAACCACCTGTCACTACAGCTCCAATGAATCTGATACCTGATTTCTGGCTTCCAGCGAATACATACAGGCACTCTCATATACAAAATAAAAATGAAAATTTAAAACAATATCCCACATCTTCATCTTGACTCACTAACTTAATAATCCCTGATCATCCCATCTCCCTGGCTTGCTGTTTCCATAGTCACTGGAGTCATAAAGTATCTGGCCTTTTTAGATTGTTATATTTTGCTTAGCAATAGGCATGTAAGGTTCTTTCCATGTCTCTCCTGGCTTGGCATTTCATTCCTCTACAAAATGACAAACATTCTATTATCTACAAATTTCAGCTTATTCAAGTTCATTCTCTTGCAAGTCGCACCTACATAATAAATAAACTGTCTCAGGGTGGGGAAATAAAAAACCTCACTTATTTTTATTTTTGTAAATTGGTGTTTTGCCTGTAGTATGTCTATGTGAAGGTGTTGGATCCCCTGGAACTGCAGTTATAGACAGTTGTGAGCTGCCATACTGGTCCTGAGAAGTGAACCCGAGTCCTCTGGAATGCTCTTAATTTCTGAGCCAGCTCTCCAGCCCCTCACTACTTTTGTGATATAGTACTTTGAAAATATAAAAAATTTCCAAAACAAAAATTACAAGTTTGTTTCATCTATCATACCTTTGTTTAAAACATTAGCTTCAATTTTTAGAACTTTGAAGACTAAGTGATCTTAAATGCCCACACTCTAAGCTGAGCATGTAGCTCAGTTGGTAAATCTATCCACCATGCAACAGCCCAACACTACATACACTGGACACAGTGGCACAAGCCTGCACTTCTAGCACTTGGAAAAAGTAAAGCAGGAAGGTCTAGACTTTGGGGCCAACCTGGTACACAACAGTGACAAGCTGGCCTAGGTTACATAGTGGGACCCTGTCTCAAAACAAAACCAGGCAAAATAGCAATCCAAATGTACCTATCCCTGGAAAAACAACCTAGCAAATCGCTGAGCATTCTTAAAATAAATTACATGTAATACTTAAATTCAAAGTATATGCAATCAAAGTGCCCATAACCAGTTAAAGAAATCACAATGACAACAAAATTACGGTATATTGTAATTTCCTACGTGTGGACAAAAGTTTTCTCCATATTTCTACTATTTTCACAACTTATTTATAATGAATGATAGGGAATTTTCTCAAAACATACAATGAAACAGACACTTTTATAATTGATGTTCATTTACCTCAGTTGTATTTGCTTCCGTTTCTGCAATTCTTGGTTTCTGAGTTCTTCCAAGCGTCTGAGTTCTTCTTGACGCCTCATTAGATCTATAAATTATTGACTACATATTAGTATTTTTTTAACCTTCCTTTTCTGTGTTTTCACACTCAAAAGTAGAATCTCCATTACTGGCATACACAAGAGCTAAGGAAATACTGCTTCTGCTGCTTTCTTTCTGGTTTTGATTCAAGGATTTATTTTTATTTTGTATTAATAGTTCACCTGCATATATGTATGGACATAATGGCTGGTATCCAAGGAAGCCAGAAGAGGGCATTAGATAGATCCCTTGGAACTGGAATTACAAACAGTTGTAGGTGCTGGGAACTGAAACTGGGTCTTCTGGAAGAGCAGCCAGTGCTCTTAACTTTTGAAACAGCTCTCCAGTCACCTTTTTGTTTTTGACCTTTTTAATTTTCTGTAGGTGTTTGAGATAGTATCACACCCTAGACCAGTGGTTCTCTACCTGTAGGTCTGGGGAGCAAAAGGCCCTTTTATAAGTCACCTAAGACTATCTGAAAACACAGATATTTTTATCATGATTCATAACAGTAGCAAAACTACAGTTTATGAAGTAGTAACAAAAATAATTTTATGGTTGGGGGTCACCACAACATCAGGAGAGAGAGAGAGAGAGATGAAGCATTAGGAAGGTTGAGAACCACTACAGTAGACCAAACCAGAATCCACTATGTAGCTGAGGAAGTCTCAAATTCACTGCAATCCACCTTTTTCAGCTTCAAAAATGCCAAGACTATACACATGAACAACCATGTCTGGTTTTTTTGAGACAACACTTTGCAACAGTAAGTTGTCTAGGATAATCTCAAAATTGGGATCTTCCTGCCTCTCTGCCCAGGGTTCCATGATTGATTACAAGCAAGGGATACCACATGCAACTTCTAAGCCACTGTAAAGCAACAAAGGATGAAGATGAACATCTGATGGTCGAATGATGATCATAAAGTGATACCTAAACCAACCTATTTAATACAGTTAATACTTGTATACAAGCTTGGTGTGGTGGCACACCTTTAATCCCAGTACTCAAAAGACAAAGGCAGGTGGGTCTCTAGAAGATTTCTTTATAAGGTAACTATGATTCAAGATCATTTTATCAACTGGGCACTTGGGAGGCAGAGGAACTCTGTGAGTTCCAGGCCAGACTAGTCTACATTCCAAGCCAACCAATACTACACAGTGAGACCCTATCTTAAAAAAATAACTAAAAGTAAATAAATAAAACATATGTACATACACACATAGCCACAGAGAAAAATCAAGACTTGAGACAGAGACATGGGTCAGTGTGTCAGAGGACAGCACATACTGCTCTTGCAGAGGCACTCAGTTCCCTTCTAGTACCCACATGGAAAATAAACTCTAACCACTCCCACAGGACCCAATGTCCTCTTCTGGCCTCCTTGGGCACACATACTTGGTGCACAGACATACATATCACAAATGCAGGCAAAACACCCAGACACATAAAAATACTGTCTTTCAAGACAGGATTTCACTGTGTAGCTCTGGCTGTCCTGGAATGTGCTCTGTGGACAAGGATGGCCTCAAAATGGCAGGCTCTGCCTCCCAAATGCTAGGATAAAAGGTGTAAGCAACCACTGTCCGACTTATACCAAGTTCAGTTTGTAATCCTAACCTCCTAACCTCTCAAAAAAAAAAAAAAAAAAAAAAAAAAAAGCACAAGAAGAGCAACAGAAGCAAGAAATCTGGACATAGAGATCTTTTCTGGGACTGATACTCCAAACAAGGACCATTGATGGAGATAACCTAGAACCCCTGCACAGATGTAGCCCATGGCAGCTCAGTGGGTTCCCTAGTAATGGGAACAGAGACTGTCTCTGACATGAACTCAGTGGCTAGCTCTTTGATCACCTCCACCTGAGGGGAAGCGGCCTTAACAGGCCACAGAGGAAGACAATGCAGCCAGTCCTGATGGGACCTGATAGGCTAGGGTCAGATGGAAGGGGAGGAAAACCTCCCCTATCATTGGTCTGGGGAAGGGGCATAGGAGAAGGAGACTAAAAATAATAAAGTCCTGTATTTTATCCTAACAGAAATGAGAATTTACCAAAAGGATTTAGAGATCAGCAATGTTTTCGACTTTTCTTTTGGTCGTAAGGGGTGAAAGTGTTTAAGACAGGGTCTCATGAAGTCCAGGCCATATTCTGAATTCACTATACATAGCTGAGGATAACCTTGAGCTGATCCTCTGGCCTCTACATAACAAATACTAGGAGCACAGGCACTGGGTACCACATAGTAGTAAACACTATAACATGCACAGTGGAACACACTGATACTTCCAGCACTTGAGTGAACCATTAGGGGCTCCAGTTTATCCTCCACTATACAGCCAAGGTTGAGGGTAGCTTGGGCTACATAAAACCTCACCCCATCTCAAGATAGATAGATGCATACAGACAGACAGACATACGTACCTAGACAGACAAAAAAATTTTAAAGCCCTAAAATGTTTTGGTTTTTTTTTTAACTACAAAAAGAAGAAGAAAAAAAAAAAAAAACAGAAGGGGGGAGATAGGGATATACTTAATTTAGACAATTGAGAGAAGAAGAAGGATAATTAGGAGATCACAGTCATCCTCAGCTATATAGTTAGTTGGAAGTTCAATGTCAGCTTGAGGTACAGGACAGGGCTAGAAAGATGATCAGCATTTAAGAGCCAGGGCTGTTCTTCCAGAAGACCTGGATTCAATTCCCAGCACACACATAGCAGCTAGCAGCCATCTAGAATTCCAGTCCTAGGAGAGCTTTCTGACACCTTCTGGCCTCTGACAACACTGCATGCACATGGCTCATAGATACATATTTGGACAATAAAAAATATATATATATATAAAATAAATAAATGAAAGATAATCTAAAATAAATTTTTAAAAAAAACCTGCAAAAAACAGAAAAGGAAAATGTGAGTACACAAATGAATGTAAGAAAGCCAGAAAAAGGGCTGGAGAGATGGCTCAAAGGTTAAAAGCACTGGCTGTTCTTCCAAAGTTCCTAAGTTCAATTCCCAACAACTACATGGTAGCTCACAACCATCTATAGTGAAATCTGTAAATAAACAAATAAATCTTGAAAAAAAAAAAAAAAAAAAAAAAGCCAGACTAAAAGGAAAAGAGAAAAGGGAAGCTTCTAAGATCTATTTAAGCAGCTCATCTTGGTGTCAGTTATGTGCCTCCCAGACGACAGCAGATCATTCCTATTAAGACTGCTCTTGGGGCTGGAGAGGTACTCAAGAGTTAAGAGTACTGGCTGCTCTTCCAGGGCATGCCAGGTTTGATTCCCAGTACCATGGCAGCTCACTACAATCTGCTACTTCCAATTTCAGGGGCTCCAATGCCCTCTTCTGGTTTCTGAGGGCAACATGCACACGTCTTACAAAGACATATAACATTTATTTAAAGACTGCTCTTAAAAAATTAATTTAGCAGTCTCATGCTTTTGCCAGTTAACATGAATTTATTCTTCCTGAATCCTCACATCCATGAACACACGAGTACTTTCTTGCCTACCAGGTTAACCATCTGGTACTCCCTCTTCCTTCTTCTCACCTTGAGGTCTGCCTAGGGATTGAATCCACAGCCTTGTGTATACTTAAAAGTGCTCTACAAGGATTGGAGAGGTGGCTCAGAGGTTAACAACACTGGCTGTTCTTCCATAAAGGTCCTGAGTTCAATTCCCAGCAACCACATGATGGCCCATAACCAACTACAGTGAGATCTGATGCGCTCTTTTGTTCTGGTGCACAGGCAGAATGTTGTATAAATAATAAATATTTTTTTTTAAAGTGCTCTACCATTTAACAAAAATCATACCTCCATTTTGATGCTCTTTTGAAGCGCAGTAACAACTTTAAAAGCTAGCACTCAGGGCTAAAGAGGTGGCTCAGCAGTTGGGAGCACTGACTGCTCTTAAAGGGACCTGGGGTTCAGTTCCCAGCACACACATGGCAGCTCACAGCTGCCTGTAGCTCCTGTTCCAGGACATCCTCACAGACATACATGTAGTCAAACACCAACATACATAAAATAAAAATATATAAATAAAACCCAACACTTAACCTAATCTTTCCACCAAATAAAATTTCACATGTGGCTTTAGCCCATGCAATTGTCTACTATGCTTCCCTTTTTATCAGCAAAATATGTATCTGTATTACTAGCAAAATTAAACATCCTTGAATTACCTCCAGCGATACTACATGTAGAAAAAAAAATTTTTTTTAATATAGTATCCCTTGTAATCTAGACTGTTCTGGAACTTCTGATCCTCCTGCTTCCAATACCCAAGTCTTAGGAATACAAACATTCCTCAACCAATCCCACTTAAAATATAATCCTGAGCTTTACACATTCTAGGCATGTAATCTACCAACTATAAACCCAGCCTACTAACACTTTTTCCCCCTTTATGTGGATATGTATGGGTATTGTGCCTGCATGTATGCCTGTAACCTATGTACATTTAGTACACAACGAGGCCAGAAAAGGGCATCGGAACCCTTGGGATTGGATGTGACAGGTATGAGCTGCTTGTATTCAGGTGCTGGGAATCAAACCTGGATCCTCTAGAACAAGCAGTGCTTTTAACTGCTGAGCCATCTCTCCAGCTCCCTCACACTTTCACAGGCTGAAAGCAGCATCAGTGTGGCCCATGTCTGTAATCCAATATTCAAGATAATCAGGAGGTCAAGCAGAGCCTAAGTTACCAGGTAGGACTGTCTTTAAAACAAGCACAGAAAGTTCTCTCAGAAAAAAAAAAAAATAATTAACTAATACATTGAGTTAAAACTTTTGTTTCTGAACTGCTAATTAGCAAATTAATACTAGTACACAACATTCAGAAGGTGGAGACAAGCAGATCTCTGTAAGTTCAAGTCCAGATTGGTCTACATAAAAATAACCTGTCTCCAAAACCACAACTAACAACAAGATACCAATGTATACAGTGGCACATCTCTTTTACCTTGCCTCATTAGCATCAACTGGTGTTCATGTCTAGCAGCTTCCATCTCTGCCTCCAGTTTCTCTTTGGCTTCTCTGATGTTTCTATCAACCTGTTCACGCTGCTGCTTTTCCATCTCATCAAGCGCCTTCCATCGAGACGCATATTCAAATTCAAACGTCCCAGGCTGAGCAAACCGTGGGGGCTGTTCTCTTTCCCTATATTAATATTAAGATCAGACAAAAATGGATACTTACAAGGTAAACCACAACAGAAAATAACAACTACCACTTATTAGATATTTATAATACTTATGGCCCGCACAGGTAGGCATTGTACATTGTCTCAAGGCAGTATCTTGAGTCTATAAACATGAATTTATGAAATTTCCCCAAAAGCTCCCAACTAATAAGTAATGAAACCATGATTCAAACTTACGAAATGCACTGCTCCAACCTATGTATTATTGCTAGCTCTCATAAAGATTTTCAGGTTTTTGTTCAACTACTACACATAATGAAATCTGCAACATACAAACCCAATGAATCCTAATTAATAGTCTTAGAATCAGATTTTCTTAGTAATAAAAACATTTTGTTATGGACCAAGTTAAGTGGCTGGACTAACGATAACAAACCACTTCACTCTACCTGTAATTACATATTTAACAGTTATGCTGTTATTCAAGTATGTAATAATACAATTCCTATTATATCCTATGTTATATTTATGGCACAACTATGCATATACTTATTTTCAAAAGTCAAATTATAAACAAGCAAACAAATGACTAAATGAAAAATAAAAATGGCCCGAGCTTGGTGGTACATGCCTTTAATCCCAGCACTCAGGAAACATGAGACAGGAGGATCTCTGAGTTCAAGGCCAGGCTGGTCTACATAGTGTGTTTGTGGCCAAAAAATACAAAACAAGAGCTTTGAATACACCTGAAATTCAAAAAAACTCTTTAATCATTCTCAGCTATGAGTAGTTTCTGTTAAATGTATTAGGAGTAGCACAATTCTCACCTTACCTATAGAAACCTTATAATTGGAATTTTCATTTTATTTGGAGATAAAGGAAAAATGAGCTGATGTGACAAAATTCCAAATGCTAACACAGAAAGTTATCACAGAGCAAGAATAGGTAGTTAGCAAGAATCATATACAGGGAGCAGGAATTTAGGTCAGGAGTAGAGAGAATAAGACACAGGATTTGGTATGTATGGGTGAGGGTGAGAGGTAAAGAGGGGAGGATGCAGAGGCAGGCAGATCTATGAGTTCAAGACCCATCTCAAATTAAGATGATGGGTAGGTAGGAAGGCAGGCAAGTAGGCAGACAGACAGACAGATAGGTAGGTAGATAGATAAATAAAAGATAAGTAGATAGCTAGCTAGATAGACGAGTGAATGAATGAATGTATGTTATAGTATGTAGTTATGTATGTATGTATGTATGTATGTATGTATGTATGTTTTTAGAGACTTTTCTAAGTAAAATTAGTGTGTTTCACCCATGTATAAAAAGGAAATAATGTGGCTGGAGAGATGACTCATCGCTTAAGAACAATTACTCATCTTATAGAGGACCCAGGTTTGGCTCTCATAAGTCAGCTCACAAGCACTTGTAACTCCAGCTCCAGGAACTCCAATCCTCTTCCTGCACACATGTGGTACATACCCATACACCCAGCCACATATAAATATAATTAAAATAAAGTTTTTAGAAAAAAAAAATTCCATAGAGACCAAATCAGTCTCTCAACCAAATTATATTCTAATAGTATTTCATAAAAATGTAATATACCCTAGACAATACATATCTAAAACATCTTTATTAATCAAGTCTTACTTATGGTATTGTTGAGTTTTCTGCATTAGCTTCTCTGGTAAACCATCTTCATCATCAAACTGTTCCATGGGTTCTACAATGACTGGACGAGGAGTTCTAGATAAAAGTATAAAGGCATTAATAAAAATTAGTTCCTAAGTACAATTAACCTCCGCTCCTAAAATTTTATAATAAAAATGACTTGAAAATGTCACAGTTAAGAAATGTGTAAGTTTGGGAGGGAATGAGGGAGCGGATACGGCTGGGATACAGAGTTAATAAAATGTAACTGATAAGAAAAAAATAAAATTAAAAAAAAAAGAAATGTCTAAGTATCATACATATTCATAGATAAAAATTAAGCCAGGCACAGCGGCACACATCTATATTACCAGTACAGGGGAGGTAGAGGCAAGAGGATCTGTGAATTTGAGGCCAGCCTGGTCTATAAAGCAAGTTCCATGATAGGGCTACACAGTGAGACCTTACCACGAAAATAGTTAATTTTTAAGATCTGTATCAGAATAGGTAGGCATGTGTTGGTTAGTTATTTTGTCAACTTGACAAAAGCCAGAGTCATCTTAAGACAGAATCTATAGGGGGTTGAAATGAGAAAATGCCCCACAGCCTGGGACATTTGAATACTTGATCCATAGCTGGTAGTACTGTTTGGGGCAACTTAGGAGGTCTACCCTTAATAGAAGTAGGTCACTAGAGAGCTCTGAGAGTTTCAACAACTTCCACAACTCCCAGGTTGCTCACTCTACTTTGTGCCTGCAGTTCAAGATGTGAGCTTCTTGCTCAAGCAGCCATGCCTTCTTCACTCATGGAACTGATGGTTCCCTCTGAATTATAAGCCCAAATAAATTCACTCCTTTCTAAGTTGCCTTGGTCATACGTGTTTTCTCACAGCAACAAAAAAGTAACTACTATAGAATATTAACTAAGAAAGACAGAAACTGATTGGCCTGCTCTTTGATTATCTTCCCCTCACGGGGGTGCAGCCTTACCAGGCCACAGAAGAAGATAATGCAGCCACTCCTGATGAGACCTGATAGGCTAGGATCAGAGGGAAGGGGAGGACCTCACCTATCAGTGGACTGGGGGACAGGCTTGGGTGGAGAAGAGGGAGGGAGGGTGACATTGGGAGGGAAGATGGAGGGGGAGGGAGCTACAGGTGGGATGAAAAAGGGAATAAACTGTAATTAATAAAAATAAAATATTATATTAAAAAAGGAAGTGTCATATGCTGGCCTATGGACATTTTCTTGATTGATGTATAAGGGTCTAGCAGGCGGTCCTGGGATGTATAAAGAAGGAAACTAACTGGGAAGTGGTGGCACAGGCCTTAAATCTCAGTTCTTGGGAGGCAGAGGCAGGCAGAGCTTTGTGAGTTTGAAACCAGCACTGTCTAAAGAGGGAATTCCAGGACAGCCAGGACTACACCGAAACTGTCTCCCAAAAAAAAAAAGCAAACTGAAAAAACTAAGAGAGCAAGTAAGCAGCATTCCTCCATGCCCTCTGCTTCAGTTCCTTTCCTGGCTTCTTATTATGATGGACCACAACTATAAGCTGAAATAAACCTTTTCCTTTTTGCTGACACTTTCTGTAGTTTTCAATGTTCCTTAATAAATCCATGTTCCCTCTTCAAAAAAAAAAAGCTAAAGATGAGTGTGGTGCTGTATGTATTATTCTTGTGAGGTACAGGGGGCAGGAGGATGAGGAGTTCATGTGATCCTTGACCTACAGAGTGCTCAGGCTATGTTGGGCTTCATAAGGCTCTTTGTCTCAGATAAGAAAAACAAAAAGGATGCTAAAGCCTAAAATGAGACCTAAATCAGTCATAGGGTGAGGAGGAATGTAGAAGCCCCAAGACACAATTAGAAATTTAAGAGAGACAGAAATGGATGCTGACAGATACGCCCAGAAACCCTTCTTATATTACTATGGTCGGTGAGATCATGAGAAGCAAGATGAATAAAATCGAACATGGCAGTGCCTATAATCATAGAACCCAGGAAGCAGAAGCTGGAGAAAACTAAGTTCAAAGTCATGTTAAACTACATGGCAACTGAGCTATAGAAGAAGCCATTAAAAAAAAAAAAAAGAAAAAGGAAAAGTAGAGAAAAAAAAGAAAAAAGAGAGAGAAAAAAAGTAAAAAGATGGTTCAGCAGCTAAGAGCACTGGCTGTTCTTCCAAAAAATCCAGGATCAATTCTTGGCACCCACGTGGCAGCTCACAACAGAGAGCCAACCCCCTTTTCTGGCTCCACTAACAGCGGGCATGCTCGAGGTACAGACTACATACACACAAGTTACACAGACACATAAAATAAATAATTTAAAGAAAGATCAAAGAAGGGAGGAAGGCTGAAAATTATTTCTAGCAAGGCATGGTAGCACACACCATTAATCCCAGTACTCTGGGAGACAGAGGCAGGTGGATAACTGAATTCAAAAGACATTCCGGTCTACAAAGCAAGTGAGTCCAGGACAACCAGGCCTACACAGAGAAACCTCAAATTAAATTAAATTAAATTAATAAAATAAAAAATTTATTTCTAGTCAGGAATAGTGGCACAAGCCTTTATTTAATCCCAGCACCAGGGAGGTAGAGGAAGGCAGAGAGTTCGAGCCAGGCTGTCTACAGAGCGAGTTCCAGGACAGCTAGGGCTTCAGAGAATCCCTGTGTCAACCGCCTGCCCCCGCCCCCCCCCCAAAAAATGTCTTGATGGTTACTAAGATTCATTGTTCCCAGCACTAGGAACAATGAGGAAAAAGTTATATCAAGTCTATGTCACAGCCTGGACTGGAATGAGTTCCAGGGAAAAAGATCAACAAAAGTTGAAACATGCACATTGCTTCAATAACAAAAGGCCAAATACATCTGTCAAAGAAAATTGTATTTACGGTTTTTTTTTAATGTGTATGTGTTTTGCTCACATGTGTGTGAGTATACTTCATGTATGCCTGGTGCCCATGAAGTCAAGAAGCTGATGCCAGACTTCCTGAACTGGAGCTAGGGATGGTTGTGAACTGCCATTCAAGGTGCAAATGCTCTTACCATCTAAGCCATCGCTCCAGGCCCTTCAAAAAATTTTTAAAGAGATTCAAGGAAAAGGTACTAAGCCATTTCTCACAACATGCCATGACGAGGTGAACTTTATGCAACCAAAGGAAAGAGAAAATGAAATTCAGAGAGAAATGTTAGTTCTGACATGTCAGATACAAGATGAAAGCCAGGTGGTGACTTCAAGGCTAGCCTGTCTACAAAGCAAATTCCAGGATAGCCAGCCAGGGAGGTAGGGATGAAGGGAAGGAGGGAGGGAGAGAGACGGAAGAGAGGAAGGAAGGAAGGAAGGAAGGAAGGAAGGAAGGAAGGAAGGAAGGAAGGAAGGAAGGAGGGAGGGAAGACAGAAGGAGAGGGGAGCGGAAAGGAGGGGAGAGGGGAGGGGAAGAAGAAAGGGAGGGAAAAAAACCAAACACATCAGGTACTATAATTTTAACTTTTCTGTGGATACAGGCCCCTAAATAACTTAACATGAAGGGAGATGGAAGGACAACCTTCTGGTCTAAAATTTGACAAATGCAAAATGTACAAGTCTCCCTTAACTTTTTGTATCGTTCCTGAACAGAACCAGGAACAACAATGAGAAGAGATCATTCACAAGCCCCTTGGTCCCATCATGTAACAAAAGTGAGGAATATGTGGTGTAAGTACTGAAAGGACTGTCCCATTTTATCTTTAGTGGGAAGTATGTTACCACATTAGCACCCACTGTTTCATTATGTTTACCACTCCTTATAGAAGCTTTCTTTGCCCATTATTTCATGCTTTTTTTTTTAATTTCAACTTCATCTTAGGTATTAACAAAAGTTTTTAAATCTTGACTTAAATTCTGTTTCATAGATACAATTGCTAGTTTTATTTAACAAATATGGGAATATGTGAATAAAATGACTTAAAAAAAAATGTGTGGCCAATCTATGTTAAATCGGGAGTTATGGAGCAAGGCTGGATCAATAAAGTGCTTGGCTGCAAACACTAGGATTTGAGCTCAATCCCCAACATACATGTGAAAAGACAAGTGGGGCAGATACCTGTAATTCCAGAGTTGGAAAGGTAGAGACAGGTCTATGTACCTGGAGCTCACTGGCCAGCTAGCATAGCTAATCATGTCAGTGGGTCTCAGGTCCCAGTGAGATCTTGTCTCAAAAATAAGATGGCCAACTCCTGAGAAAGACAGCCAATAACTGTCCCTGGCCTTTGTTGATATTTTCACACATACACACCAAAGGAAAAACAACAAAAACCCTGGAGTTCCAATTTTTAAGGCTTCTCCCACCCAATAGTCCCACCTAATGCATTGTTTATCAGCAAGTTGAAAGGTATTCTATTGTAAAGAATAATGGTGGGCTCAGCTGAAGTCAGCCATCAGGATAGGGTGTCGAAGGGGAGGGTACCTCTGACAGGCCAGTACCAAGGTGTGCCACTAAGAAATTATGTCATCCAACAGAGGTTGGGTGTAAAGAGCTTTATTGGGGAAGGCAGAGAAGGAAAGGCCATCTCACTGTAGGGACATGGAGAAGAGATAGAGGCAGACAGAAAAAAAACAACACGACAAATATGGACTGACAGAGTGAGTGGGAGAGGGAGGAAGGGAGGGAGGGAAAGAGAGCAAAGACCAAACAGATAAGGAACAGGAGATGGGGGGGGGCCTTTTATACACTGCACCTATGGTGGGAACTGCCTCTGGGTCTCAGGGCAGGGTGTTGGAGATGACTTGCTTGCTAACATTATGGGGTAGAAATATGACTTATGACTCAGCAGTTAAGCGTGGTACTGCTCCTCCAGAGAACCCTAGTTCAATTCCCAAAACCTGCATCAGGTGGCTCAGGAGCACCACTAACTCCTGCTACTACCGTTCTTTGAAAATCATTATTTAAAATAATTAAAATGTGGGCTGGAGAGATGGCTCAGAGGTTAGGAGCACTGGCTGCTCTTCCTGAGGTCCTGAGTTCAATTCCCAGCAACCACATGGTGGCTCACCACCATCTATAGTGAGATCTTGTGCCCTCTGCTGGTGCGGACACATTCATGCAGATAGAACATAATAAATGCATAATAAATAAAAAATTAAAAAAAATTAAAATGTGAGCTGGGCGTGGTGGTGCACACCTTTAATCCCAGCACTCAGTAGGCAGAGGCAGGCAGATTTCTGTGAGTTTGAGGCCAGCCTGGTCTACAAAGTGAGTTCCAAGACAGCCAGAGCTGTTACAGAGAGACACCCTATCTCAAAAAAAAAAAAAAAAAAAAAAAAAAGTGGCTTTTAGAACACTGGTTCTCAATCTTCCTAATGCTGTGACCCTTTAATGTAGTTCCTTATGTTTCGATGACCCCCAACCATAAATTATTTTCTTTGCTACTTCATAACAACGATTTTTACATCGAATATGTGCCTTTCCAAAGGTGTCTCAACCCACAGGTTGAGAATTACTTCTCTAGAGAGAGGGCTCAGTGGTTAAGAGCACATGGTGGTCCTGCAGAAAACTGGAGTTCAATTTCTTTTTGTCTGTTTTGTTTTTCAAGACAGGGTTTCTCTGTGAAGCCCTGGCTGTCCTTTGTAGTCCAGGCTGGCCTCAAGCTCTCACAGGCCTTTGCCTCCCTGAGTTCTGGGATTAGAGGCATGTGACACCATACCACAGCTGTGAGTTAGCACCCATGTTTGGAGATTCACAAGTGCCTAAAACTCCAGGTTGAGGGGAATCTAATGTCTGACACCTCTGGCCTCCAACAGAAACTGTGGTCATGTGCAAACATACCAATACATATACACACTTAAAAATAAAATAAAACTTAAATTAGTAATTTAAAAAGAAATTTTAAAATGCTCAGGATGAAGTGGCTCAAGTAAAGAGCCTGTCTACCAAGTACAAGACCCTGGGTTCCATCCCCAGCACTGCCCATGCTTCCTAAAGCACAAGCCACAAGCTGGATATGGTGGCATGCATCTTTCCAAGTACTTGGAAGGCAATGGCAGATGGCGTTCAAGGGTAACCTGGTCTACACAGAGAATACATAGAAAGATCTTAATTCAAAACAAAAATGCAAACCACAGACTGAAAGAAATATTTATAATACTGATGTTACTTAGATTATATAATTCAGAAAAAAAAAGAAAGAAAAAACTACCCAACTAAAAATGGAGAAAATTGGGCAAAAAAAAATTCAGATACTTTATTTTCTATATCTGATATAACACAGCCAAAAGCACACAAAAAAAGATGTTCAACCTTAGTCATCAGGAAAAATAAATGTGATTTAACCTGCAATGAAACACGTCTAATGTTTAAGTCTAGAAACAGGAAGTTGGTAGGACTATATGTCATTTATCACTCGTGGGAATCAAAAGTAAAATGACAACATTGTAAAACAGTCTGACAGGTCATGAAACTGAACAACTTATCCCAAAGCTGAGCATGGCAGCACACGCCTATAACCACAACCACTAGAATGAATTCAAAGTCACCCTCAGCTACAACAACATCTCAAACAGCAACAGCACAATTCTGTGAGGTGCCAGGCACCACACATGCCTTTAACTCGGGTACGGGGGAAGCTGCATGAGGGCTATAACCTCAAGGTCCGCTACACATACAGAGGGTTCCAGGCCAGCCTGCACTATGAAGCATAGTAAGACTCTTGTACCCAAAAACCAAAATCTTTATTGGGTTCTACATTTAAAACAACATAGTTTTGGATATAAAAAAAATTAATACTCACAAAAGCTAAAATTTGTTAAAGGATTAATATATATGATTTCTAGTAAATAGTATACACAAAAAACTATGAGAATTCTATATCTACTTAAGGGCTAGAGAGATGGCTCAGAAGTTAAGAGCAATGGCTGCTCTTAGAGGTCCTGAGTTCAATTCCCAGCAACCACATGGTGGCTCACAACCATCTATAATGAGATCTGCTGCCCTCTCCTGGCCTGCAGGTGTACATGCAGACAGAATATTATATACATAATAAAATCAGTATCTACTTAATCATATGCAAACATGGAAGAAACAACTACAAGGAAAAAATATTATTCCAGAACAAACCACATATAATGGCACACACTTGTAAACCCAATACTCAGGAGACTGAGGCACAGGACTGCTGCAAGTTCAAAGCCAACATCTGCAGCTAGATTTAAAAAATAAAGGGGAAAAAACCCCACTTTTTCTTTTTTTTTTTTTTTAAGCCAGGCCTATTAGCACACATTCACCTTTAATCCCTTCACTCACTAGTCAGGGGAAAGTGGATCTCTCTGAGTTTGAGGCCAGCCTATCTCCATAGTGAGCTCTGAGCCACCCAGAGCTACACACTGAGACCTTGTCTCAAATAGTCAGACACTGAGAGATAAGTAGCCAAAATAAAAACAGAATTCCAAATACACACAAGTCCATATTTAACTGTAGAGGACAGAGAGTTAACTTACGTTGTCAGCAAGAAGGCCCCATCACCACATCTCTCCAGAGCCTTTCGTGCAGGAGGTTTCGCTGCAAATTCTACAAAACCTTTTCCTGTAGCTCTACCACGATCATCCACAACCACAACAGCTTTCTCTACTGGACCAAACTGGGAAAACGCTTGTTCTAGAAGCTCATTGGAAACAACTGGAGAAAGGTTCTTGACTGTTAGGGCTGCTCCGTGTGTAGCAAAGCGAATTCGGAGAGGTCTGCTCTTCAGTATGGTGCCATCCAGCTCTGCTTTTGCAATTTCAGCCAGTGTTCTGGATTCCTTTTTAGGAGGAAAAGTCATTTTTTTAAAAGTTGAGTAACAAAAAATTAAAATAGTGGTTTGGCTCTAAGGAAGAGACTAGGTAACCCTGGGAAACAGATAATAAGGCCCATTTTATCTTTAACATTGGCATCACATGCTTTTACTGCATATTCAAAACATCACTGTAAATATTTTTTTAGTTTTTAAAACTTAAAAAAAAAAACAAAAAAACAACTTCAGTCAGCAGTAGTGGCACAAGCCTTTAACCCTAGCACTCAGGAAGCAGAGGCAAGCAGGTCTGAGTTCTCGGACAGCCTGGTCTACTGAGCAAGTTCCAGGTCAGCCAGGGAATGCACAGAAAAATCCTGTCTTGAAAAACAAAACCAAAAACCAAAAATCACTATTTTTTGAGAACAAGTATCAGTTTCTAGAACTACCATAAGAACAGTAATTCTTCATACCTGCCTCAATTTTGACAATGATTTATTGGTTCGTTTATTTATTTCTAGGCTGTTTTCTCAGCCTAGGCTGACCTCAAAGTTGCCCCTTCCTCCACCACCCCTGACCCCCTGTGTGAGAGCTAAGACATAAGCATGTGCTACCATGCTGGCCGACACTACAGTAAATCAAATTAGCCCTGCAGCCTACCCACATTATCTGCAAACACGACCATTAGGTTTGTTAATCACGCCTCCAAAAACACCTACCTGGGCTACATATCTTTTTGGTAACATGGGAGAGAGTCAAATGCAAATTCATGGACTAAATTTTCTCCTTTATAATGAAAAGCAAGTGATTTAGTCAGATTTGAGCAATCTCCTAAGTGCTGCAATTTAGGTATTTCTGTTGTGCACAGCTAGAAAGTTCTCTGTGCCATAAATGAGTATATTTTCTAGTTTGTAAGTACTTATGCACTCTTGCTTAATAGGAAGGCAAGAACTGTTACAGTCCACAAATTACTTGTTACTCAATGAGACACTATCTCCCAAAACAAGCCAATAAGATGCCTGAGCCGGTAAGGGTACTTGTCATTAAGCAAGATGACTGATGTATGACCCCTAGGACCCTCAGAAGGAAAAAAAAAGATTCCCAGGGCTGGAGAGATGGCTCAGTGGCTAAGAGCACTGTCTGCTCTCCCAAGGTCCTGAGTTCAACTCCAGGCAACCACAGGATGGTTCACAACCATCTGTGATGTGATCTGGTGTCCTCTTCTGGCATACAGATAGGGCACTCATATACATAACAAAATAAATAAATTAAAAAGAGAACAGATTCCCAAAGGGGGTTCTTACACCTCCACATGTGTGCTGTGAGGGCACTAATTTATTAAAAATATTGGCATGGTCATACTCACGCGTGTGTGCGCGCGCACAGAATACATAGATCTAGCAAAGAATTCAAAGAGAAACTTCCTTCTTGGAGATTTCACACTTGCGGTACAAGATAAGTATATATAATAATAAATAACTGATAAATTTAATAGAAATGTTCTTCATTGTGCTCTGGGAACTCTCCACGACCACAAAGAGCTTTTATATGCTTATATGAGAAGTTTATCAGGGAGGGAGGGAAGGATTGGGAGGGAATGAAGGAGGGAGCTACAGCTGGGATACAAAGTAAATAAACTGTAATTAATATTAAAAAATAAAATTAAAAAAAAAGAATTGTATCTACTTGTAGTGGTGGTACACAACCTTTAATCCCAGCACTGGGGAGGCAGAGGCAGGAGTTCAAAGCCAGTCTGTTTAACAGAGCAAGTTTCAGGACAGCCAGGACTACACATAGAAACCTGGTAGCAAAAAGAGGGGGGGAGGGCCTAAGGTACAACGCCTTTTTATTCAATCTCTAAAATATTTACCACAGCTGAGCATGGTGGCAAGCATCTTTAAACTTGAGAAGCAGAGGCAAAAAAATCAGGAATTTCAGTAATCCAAAACTGGCCTGAGCTACATATGAGGACCTCAAAAAAATTAAAAATATGCTAGACATGGTAGCATAAACTTTTAATCCCAGCACTTGGGAGGCAGGAGCAAGTGAATCTCTGTGAGTTTAAGGTCAGCCTGGTCTACAGAGCAAGTTCCAGGACAACCAAGGCTAATACTGATACTCTGTCTCAATCAATCTATCAATCAACCAACTTAAGGGGACTGGAAAGACGGCTCAACACCTAAGAGAATTTGCTGTTCTTGAAGAGGTCCAGTTCCCAGCAACCACACACGTGGGGCCTAACTCCAGTTCCAGAAGCTCCTGCACTCTCCTCTGACCTTGGTCATCAAGCATGCATGTGATGAACACAGACACTTACAGACAAAACACATGTAAATTAATAAATCTAGGTCAGGGGTTGATGGCACAACACATTTAATCCCAGTACTTAGGAGGCAGAGGCAGGCAGATCTCTATAAATTCTAGGCCAGCCTGGTCCACAAGTTCCAGGCCAGCCAGGGCTACACAGAGAAACCCTGTCTCAAAGAAAACAAAATAAATAAATACATCTAAAAAGAATTTTTGCAAATAATAGTAAAGGCCAGCAAGACAGCCCAGCAGGTAAACATGAGGCCACCAAGTCTGATGATCTGGTTTCAATCCCCAAAACCAAGTACCAAGACAACCAAGTTGTCTTCTGACCTCCACACTTGTACCATGGTTTGCATGTCTAAAACACACAAATGAAGGATAAAAAAATATTGTCAATTCTCCTAAAATTAAAAGTAGATGTTTACAGTCTAAAAGTTACAGTTCTTCTGCAAAATCCCATCTATAACACTATGTTTATAAAAATGCAAATGAAGCCAACCTATTCAGAGATACCAAAGTCTGTACCTTGTCTTAGTGGTATAAGCCTGTAATCCCCAAACTCAAGAGGCTCAATCAAGAGGATCATAAATATTAAATAAATAGATAGATAGATAAATGGGGTAGGCCACCTTTGAGCTGGAGTGGAGATAGTTTAAATGCTAAGTTGTGTACTGCATTCTTGCATTGGGCCTGAGTTCAGTTCCCATCAACTACATGAGGCAGATCACAACCACCTCTAATTCAGTTCCAGTGAATCCAACTCCCTCTTCTGGATGCCACTGAGACCTGCATTCACATGCCCACATAGATATATGCAAATTCACATAATTAAATTTTTTTAGATGACTGAGATACAGCTCAGTGAAATAAACACTTGCTTAGCATATACAAAGCCCTCATTCCAATCTCCCAGTACTGTACACTCAAACACATACACACAATCACCACACACAACTCAAGTCTTCTTCTTAGCTTTTATCCTAACTCAACAATATTAATAGCAGCAAACAATAACTAAAGAATCAAGTACTTTGCTAGTCAATGTGTAATATAATCTAGCAGCACTGAATTAAAACACTATCAAGGAATTGGGAATAGAAAGGAATATGAGGAAAAATCTTGAGTTTCTATACTTTCATATAAGTGTGGGGTTTTTTGTTTTTGTTTTTTTTTTTTTTTTTTTTTTTGGCCAGTGGAAAAGTATTTTCCTTTTCATAAAAAAAAAAAAAAAAAAAAAAAAAAAGCCTTTCACTGTGTGTATACATAATACATATAGTATTCTAAAAAAGTAATACTGGGCTCTAGTTAATGGCAAGCATGCTGGAATGTTAAGAGTCATAAACTGGTGGAGAGATAACAGATATTAAAAATTTGGCAGAAGCCAGGAGAGGGTACAGCATGCCTGTACTTCCCAGCACTCAGGGAGGCAGAAGCAGGCAGATCTCTGCGAGTTCGAGGCCAGCCTGGTCTCCAGAACAGCCAGAACTACATAGTGAGACCCTCTCTTGGAAAACAAAAAACAAAAACAAACAAAAGGCAGACCATCTTTGTAAAATCTCCATGGGTAAGCATGAGAACATCTGCAACTCTACCCCTACAATTTTTCTGGAATGAAATGTTGGTAGGAACTGTAAGACTGAAAAGAATGTTTCTAAAGGGCAGCTCCTGCATGCATTCATTGACCCAACCATCAAGTCACAACTTCTGTCATTTCATAGGGGGAGGGGGTCTTAATTTTACATTAAGTAAATGATTTTGTGCGTTTTTAGTTTTTTTGAGACAGCTCGCTCTACATAGCCCTGGATGTCCTGGGACATAGTATGTAGCTCAGGCTGGCCCTCAAACTCACAGGAATCCATTTGCCTCAGCCTTCCAAGTGTTATAAAGGCATGCACCATCATGGCCATGTCTGGCTATATCAAGTAAATTTTTACTTTTGTCAACTACCTCCATTTTAATGCTTGGAACAAAATGTTTACGCAAAGAATCTCAATAATATTTTTACGTCCTGCTACCCAGAGCTGGGTGAAACGGTTCAGCAGATAAAAAACTTGCTTTCAAGCCAGACAACGTGTGTATAATCCCCACAACCCACAAAGTACCATCTCCCACAAGTTGTACGGTTCTTTATTTGTGTGTGTGCATGCCTGCGAACACGCATACATGTACACATCATTTTCAATAAATTTAAGGCAAGGGGCTAGAGAGATGGCTTGGTGGATAGAAGCACGAGCTACTCTCCAAGAGGACCTGGGCTCAGGTTCCCAACACCCATACAGCAGCTCAACCAACTGTGACTCCAATCCCAGAGGATTTGACGCCTTATTCTTGCCTCAGTCGTCACTACACTCACATGATGCACAGACGTGCACTCACAGGCATACCCTAAGACAAAGAAATATATATAAATAAAATCTAGAGTAAGGAGACATTTGTTCACAGTCCCCCAAAAAATGTCATACAAGAGGACCATTGGGAATTCAACATCACCCTGTACTACAGGGCGAGTTTGATGCCAGGTTGGTCTGTACTGGTCCCTATCTCGAACAGAAATATAAAAGAACTGGACTCGCTGGTGCATGCCTGTGATCCCAGCACTCAGGGAGGCAGAGGCAGGAGGAATGCTGTGAGTTTCAAGGCCAGCCTGGCCTACAAATCGAGTCCAAGACAGAGAAACCCTGTCTCAAAATAACAAAAAAAAAAGAAAGAAAGAAAGAAAGATAAAAGAAATTTGTGCTTCAAAGATTAACAAATTAAGACTGGATATAACGTCTTTAGTCCCAATACTCTGGGGAGGATAAGGCAGGCAGATTTCTATGTGCTCTAGACTAGACAAAGATACATAGCAGGATCCTGTCTCCAAAAATAAATAAATATTAGCAAATAAAAATTATTTCTATGGACAATGGAGATACATCAGCAGGTAAAGACACTTTTTTTTTCAAGGTAGGCTTCTCTTCGTAGCCTTGGTTGTCCTGGCCTGGATCTGCAGATCCGCCTGCCTCTGCTTCTGCTTCCCAGAGTGGTGAATGCACAGGTGTCCACCACCATGCTTGGCTAGGTAAAGGCACTTGCTGTCAAGACTGATGACCTAAACGGTATCCCTGGGACCAACAAAGTGAGAAGAGCTAAATTATTTCTGTTCCCTGACTCTACAGGTATGCTGTCATGCACATATACACAAATATGTAAGTGGAAGTAACAAAAATGCTGTTTAAATGGTATTTTCTAGGGGCTGGAAAGATAGCTCAGCAGTTAGGAGCATTTGTTGCTCTTTCAGAGGATCTGGATTTGGTTCTCAGCACCTACATAATGGCTGGCCACCATCTATGAATCTAGCTGAAGGGAATCCAATGCTTTCTTCTGTCCTCCATGGACATCAGGCCCATACATGGTGGTGGACACATACATGCAGACAAAAACACACAAACACTTGTATTTTTTGTTTTTTGAGTCACAGTTTCTCTGCACAGCCCTGGCACTCACTCTGTAGACCAGGCTGGCCTCAAGCTCACAGAAATCTGCCTGTCTCTGCCTCCCAGGTGCTGGGATTCAAGGTGGACACCACCATGCCCAGGTCGGTGATAATATGTTTTTTAAAAGTACTTCTAGAAAGCCAGGTGGTGGCACATGCCTTTAATCCCAGCACTTGGGAGGCAGAGACAGGCAAACCTCTGAGTCTGCAGAGTGAGTTCCAGGACAACCAGGGCAACACAGAAAAACCATCTCAAAAAAAAAAAAAAATCAAATATTAAGATATAACCATAAAAATAACAAAAACCACTTCTCTGTGTAATGTCCCCCTATACAAACGTTTGTTAGTGTGGTAGTCTGAATAAGAGTGACCCCCACAGGCTCATATTGAGAATGATTAAGAGGTGTGGCCTTATTAGAGGTGTGTGGGCTTTGAGGTTTCAAAAGCCCAGCCGTTCTCAGCTCTCTCTGCCTCCGGCTTCTGGATCAACTTGTAGGCTCTCAGCTACTGCTGGATATGCTCCCCTCGATGATGGTCATGGACTCTACCCGCTGGAACTGTGCTAACCTCTGGAACACGTGCTGGCCCCCAATTACTGTCAGGAGCGTGCTGATCTCGAGGGCTTAGGGTAGACAGCAGGCAACGCAAAGACAGAGGGAGAGTACTTCGCAAAGATGCTGGAGAGGGAACCCTGGGCCTTGGGCACGCTTGGCCAGCGTTCTGCCACTGAGCTACACCCCCCGCCCTTCAACGCACACCCTCCGGAAAGGAAAAGGATGACTACGGATCGTTCCTTCAAGGAACAAGTCCGCTGCTGAGATTTCTCACCGAGCTCATTCCCAATTCACCCCCGTTGGCGATTTCGTCCCACAAGACTACCAACCCAGACGACGCGGGGCCTCCGTGACCCCGCCCCCCGCCAGACCCCGTGTTCGCGGGTCTGGCCCGCGGCCGCGAGCCCGAGACCCGCAGAGGACAGAAACCCTGCGGCGCCCGGGGCCGAGCCGCGGCCTCTTTGTGTCCCCGCGGCCCGCCGCAGACTCACCAGGCGGATGAAGCCGAAGCCGCGGTCGCGGTTGATGAAGACCTCGCTGGGCTCGCCGTAGCGCTCGAAGAGCCGCTTGAAGTCCTCCTCCGTGATGTCGGTGGGCAGGTTGCCCACGAAGAGGCGGCAGCGCTGCGTGTACGTCTTCTCGCCCGGCTTGAGGAAGCTCTTGATGTCGATGGTGAAGCCCATCTCCTCGTCCGGGTGCTCCTCCGAGGGCGCGGGCGGCGGCGCCTGCTCCCCGGCCAGCGTCAGCGCCATGGCCGCCGCGGCCACCGGCTCGCTCTCGCCGGCCGCCGACTCCAGGGCGCGAAGGCGGGCCGGGTTTTTCTCAATGCGCACTTGCTTCAGGTTCCCCCTTAGCATCATCTCAGCGAGTTCGCCGGGGATGCAGGATGCGGCCTAGGCGTCGATGTGCACGCGTCTCCACATGTAGCTATGGAAACGGAGCGAGGAAAGCCAGGCGAAGGAGGAGAACCCTGCCTCCCCGCAATCACGCCCGCCGCGGCCGAAGGCTCAAAATGGCGCCGCTTCAAACTGCGGTTGGAAGAGACGCGGAGCTGGAGTCCCGCCCCCTCCGCCACGCGCCTGCGCGGAGCCCGCCGCCGCGGACCGTTTGCGAGCCCGGCGCGTGCGCACACTGTGGCGAGCTGTACTGTCCGCACCTAGGGGCGTCGCGTCTTAAGACATTGGAGACCCTTGGGGGAGGGGTCTGTTTGTGTTTTTTGCTTTTTGCAGCTGCGTGTGTACATCCGAGGCTGGCCTTGAGCTGTTGATCCTCCGGCCTCAGTCCTGGGACACCCAGGTCACACACTGCATGTGAGGAACAGGGTATTTGTGTGCAGTAACAGAGTGAAAACATAATAATTTAGGGAATGTATTTGCCTTTTTAAATATTACAGTAATTATCATTGAATGGGAAAATGAAAACTTGCATGTTTTCAGCACTGGGTAGACTAGGGAAGGAGGATACCGAGTTCAAGGTCAGCCTGGGCTGCATAACAAGATGTATATATTTAAAAAATTAAAAACTGGTTCCTTTTATTTTTCTTGAGACGAGCTTTCCCTAAATAACCCTGGCTGTCCTGGGACTCCTTCGTTAGACCAGGCTGGCCTCGAACTCACAGAGATCCACATATGATCCACAGAGATGTGCCTGCTAAGTGCTGGCAATGAAGGCATGTGTCACCACACCAGGCAATGATAATCTCTTTGTGTAGACTTGGCTGGCTTGGAACTCACAGATTTAAAAAAAAAAAAAAGAGAAAGAGAGAAAAGGAAAAAGAAAAATCTTTCGGCAGGTGTGGTAGCTCACACACATGTAATCCTAGCTAACACTTGGGAAGCAGGAAAAGTCTGATGAAAATAATAAAATTGTTGAAAATCGTATTTCCTGATTAAGAAATCCAATTTTATTTTGTCAGTGCTGGGACTGAACCCGCACCTTTGCATACCAGCACTGAGCTATGGCCCCAGCCCTTCAATGGGGTTTTCTGAAACAATTGTATTTTAGTTTGGTTTGGTTTGGAGGTTTTTGTTTGTTTTCTTTTCTTTTTGAGACAGAGTCTCTCTACATACGTGGCCTTGCCACACTGGAACTCTGCGTAGATGAGGCTGGCCTTGAACTCACAGAGATCCTCCTGCCTCTGTCTCTACCTTCCAAGAGCTGTGGTTAAAGGTGTGCACCACTACCCATCCCAGCTGTGTTGTGATTATTGACTTTAGAGAACTCCTTGGAATAGATTATACAGTTAGTATTGAGATCATGAACCCCTGTGGACCAGACTTCTGCATCACCAACTTACTTTGTAGGGATTCAGGTAGCAAAAGTTAAGATTTGTGGAGAATTCTGAACCTCCCACCTCAGCCTACTCCTGTACAGCCACTGGCACTTACAAGGTGACTCCTCAAAGACCGTGAAAAGTGACTAAACTCACATGGCATTCTTCGAGGAGTTAAGCAGTTTCTCATGAAAGTGAGCGTTTTTCGTACAATATGAAACTCAGGAGCTGGAGAAATGGCTCAGTGGTTAAAGGTACAGCTGTTCTTTTAGACCTGGCTTTTAACACCCACATGACTGTTCACAACCTAGTTGCATGGATCTGACCCTCTTCAGGCCCTGTGCACCAGACATATACACACAGGCAAAACATTCATTCTTAGAAGAGAAAATTTTTTAAAAATTGGGAAATGTGATTTTGTTGTTTTGTTTTCAAGACAGGTTTCTGTTTAGCTAGGCTGATCTCAAACTCAGAGATCTACCTGCTTCTGCCTCTCAGCCGAAACCTATTCTTACATGTTAATCAAAGTAAAGAAACATGTTCACACAGAATCCTTTATGCAGATCTTCTTAGGAGCTTTATTTGTTTGTGGCAGGGTCTCATACACTCTAGGCTGACTCACTGTGTAGCTGAGACTAGCCCTGAAACGATGATCTTCCTGCCTTCACCTTTGAAGTGCTGGGTTCACAGATGTGCCTCACAGAAACTAGCTGCAGTGTGTGTGTGTGTGGGGGGGGGGGGAGATACTGCACTTTGCCTGAAATCAACAAAAACTGGAAAAAAGCTTTGGACTGGTGAGGAGATTAAACATGTTACCTGGTGGTGCGGCTTGAGTTTTGTTTTGATTTTGAAACAGAGTCTCACTAGGTAGCCCTGGCTGTCCTGGAACTTGCTGTGTAGACCACACTGTCCTGAAACTCACTGAGCTCTACCTGCCTCTGTCAGCCAAGTGCCGGCATTAAAGGCATGTTTCTAAAGGTGTCAGAAACAGAGGCAGTTTATTAAGAAATAAAAAGGGCATGGTATTCGGGAGGCAAAGGCAGGCAGATCTCTGTGAGGCCAAGGCCAGTCTAGTCTACAGAGATAATTCCAGGACAGCCAAGGCTACAAAGAAGCCTTGTTTTCAAAAACCAACAACAAGAAAGAAAGAAAAAAAGGAAGGAAGGAAGGAAGGAAGGAAGGAAGGAAGGAAGGAAGGAAGGAAGGAAGGAATCAGCAAATTCCTCCAGCCTCAGTTTTTCCCGACTGTCCTGGATTAACTGCATACTCCTCTAAGGACTGCTTCTGTCTCCTACAAGTCTCTCTAGACACTGCTGGGTGTGACTGCAGATTCCACATCCATACATCCATAATCAGAGTTTGAGAGGATGAGATAGGAAGACGAAACATGTGCAGCTAACATGGATGGGCTGCAAATATAAATAAATTAGCCAGGCAGTGTTGGCTCACGCCTTTAATCCTAGCAGTTGGGAAGCAGGTGGATCTCTGAGTTCCAGGACAGTCAGGGCTACACAGAATAACCCAAAAACAAAAACAAACAAACAAAGAAACGAACAGAATTAATTTCCAAATAGATGTGTTTTATATTTCATGTCACAGGAGTTAGATGTGAAGTACATCATTTCTCCTTGACCTCTCTCAACTTTAAGACCATGTGTTTGTTTCTCCCTTTGACAAAAATTCTAAGTCATAAAAGTTCATTCCAACATAATTCTCTCTGTGTCTCACTTTCTTCCTCCCTTAATTTGTATTGGATCTATTAATACAAGTATTTTATGGGGCCATAATCTCTATATCTCTTTCCTACCTTTTTAAACTAGTTATGAAATCTTCTTCCTCAGATCAACACTTCCCTCCTCTCCTCCCTCACTTGTAGCTGGCAACATCCAGTCTGTTTTTTTTCACTGTAGAAAGAAGGACACATTTTGAAGATAATACTGAGGAGATCCTTATCACAAAAATCAGCTGACTCCCGTGTGTTGCTACTACCCACTCTTCTTGTCCCAGTGAATAAACGGCCAAAGCTTTTCTCTGAGGCTACTGGTTATCATCCTTCTGTCTTGTTCTTTGTTTCAGCAGTTAACCTACCAGATATCCTGAAACGAACTTTTCATTTGTTTGTTTTGGTTTTGTTTTTTCTTCCAAGAGGGCTTTTCTGTATTGCCTTGGCCGTCCTGTAACTTACTCTGTAGACCAGGCCAGTCTCTAATCACGGAGATCTGCCCTCTTCTGCCTTTGTGAGGGCAGGAATTAAAGGTGTGGACCACACCCACCCATCTTGAAATGAACAATTCCTTTTTTTTTTTTTTTTTAAAGATTTATTTATTTGTTTTATGTATGGGTGCTCTACCTGTCTGTACACCTGCATGCCAGAAGAGGGCATCAGATCCCTGCTGGGAATTGAACTCAACCCCAAAATGAACAATTCTTTTTTTTTTTTTTAAGATTTATTTATTTTATGTATATGAACATTGTTTTCATGCACAGCAGAAGAGGGAATGAGAGTCCATTACAGATGGTTGAAAGTCACCAAGTGGTTGCTGGGAATTGAACTCACATCCTCTGGAAGAACAGCCAGTGCTCTTAACCACTGAGCCTTCTCTCCAGCCCCCAAAATGAACAATTCTTAATCTGTTCTAGAGTTACTGTGCACCTAGATGGCAAATAAGCATGTCAGGCTAAATGTGTCTAGGGCTGGGCATGACACCGAGTGCCTGTAATCCCAGCACTTGGGGATGGAGGTAGAAGGATCAATTCAAAGTCATGCTCTGCTTCCTGGCAAGTTCAAGGACTACATAAGGACCTGTCTCAAACAAACACCCTAAATTCCTACAAAACAACCTGTTCCCACCATTGCTATGCGCTCTTCCCACATTAAGCTCACCCAGTCCTTTCCATTGCATAAAGGCACTATCTTTCATCCACAGCATGAAACCAACAGTGTGAGGTTCATAGTGGACCCCTTTCTTTCCACATACTCAGTGTCCAAGCAGCAAATACTCTTGGTTCTATCTTGAAAAAAATACCCCAGGTTGGAGAGATGGCTCCATGACTAGGAGCACTCACTGCTCTTACAGAGGACCCAGTTTGGTTCTAAGCACCAACAGGGTGCCTGACAACCACCCCCAGCTCCAGTTCCAGGGAATCTGAGGCTCTCTTCTGCCCTCTTGGGCACCTGAACACATATAGTGCACATGGACTTTTACAGTCACACATAAATAGGCATAAATGATAAGCTGTTATTTTAAAAGATAACTCAAACGTTCTACGCTAACTCACCTTCTAAGTCCTCGTTATTCCCTAATAATGTTTGTGGCACTGCCTGGCCTATACTCCTGGTTCTACCCTGGCCTTATCACTAACTCCAGTACATCAGAATGTGACTGTATTTTGAAAGAGAGTCTCTAAAAAGATAATTAAGATTAAATAAAGCCAAAAAGGATGGAAGCAAAATGAACACGACTAACGTCATTATGAAGAGAAAAGATGATGATGTGCCGGAAGACATGGAGAAGCCAGAGAAAACAGATATCTGGACACCGGGCAGAGGTCTCAGAATACAACTGTGCTGGCAACTTGTCCTGTGCTCTGAGCTTCCAGAAGGAAGGAAGGTATTTCTGTGTTTGAACCACTAAGGCCATGGGACTTTTGAAAATTATTTATTTTTATGTGTGTGATTGTTTTGCCTGCACATATGTCTATGCACTGTTATGGGGTCCACTTAAATCCGACATAACTCA